AACCCCCCCCTTCGATTCCCCCAAGGTCCGCCTCTAAAGCCGCGTTTGCAAGAAGTCACCCCGCGGGCCCACTTTTTGCACCAAGATTCCAGCACCAGGATAGCCCTAAGTCAGTTGCTTTGGGTACATGCTGGGGTCAAAACACCACGTTTGTGAATCCCACACTGTTCTACACATGTACACACCAGAATCAACCCCATCCGCGTTGCAACAATGTGCTGCCCCCAGTTACACGTTGCCTCGCAAACCCCATAACCTGATATTTATACATATATCTAACTATATGTATGTATTTATTTATATATATATATATTCATGTCTGTGTGTCTGTGTGTGTGTCGTGTCCCCCCTCCCTGAAACCTACCTTTTTGGTACCCGCCCTCGAGTCCAAGCCCAGAAGACTTTTTTCGATATCCGCCCCAACTCCACCCACGTCCGTCCGCAGCGGATATGCCTCGTTCCCTTGCTCTCTTCTCCTGTTCCAACCCACGCCTACCTTTCGATCTTTCACCCTTCCCTCTCAAGTGTTGACCTGCTCCCGTCCATACAAAATCGGAGTTTTTCTTAATGCATACGGATTGGAGTGTTGCAACACCTGTGCATATTTGGCTACACGAGTATGCGCCTTGCGTGTTGAGTTCCTCTTGTCTTGGAACGTGTGAATTTTGGCAGCGACGAAGCTCACCATGGGATGCTGAGTTGCGCTTCGCAACTGGGACAAAGACTCCTTGCTTCGGGCGTGGTTTGACCACTTCGACGCTTGCTTGCAAATGTGCCTCAAACTGCTCCTGAGCACCAATTTCAAAAGAATCACTCCAGCACCAGGTTGGCCAAATGATTGGAAACGTAGAGCATCTATTCCCTTGGACAACTTGACTTGATTTGGATGCTTGGATGATGCCTCAGGATGATGACCGCAATGGATTCCTAGACGCTTGTCAGCAGCGCCATGCAATCTTTTGCGCTAATCACATCCATAATTCTGTTGCTGCATGTCGTCTAGCTGATTGCCATTTATTGAACTGTTATAATCTATAATCCACTATAATCCACTATAATCCATTATAATCCATTGTTGTTATATTATGTTATATATATATATATATTGCTATAAGCCATTATTTTCTTATATAGTTAGTGCCACTTGCTGTCAGCTGTCAGGAAAAGGATGACTTTTTACTCGTTAGCGATCAGATCACTCGCTCGGACCCGTGGCAAAGCTGCACAATGGTGGGGTGTGGGGTGCGTCCTGCAAAACCATGCTAGCTGATATTGACGCGAAGCAATGCGAAGCAGTACTCGTATGTTCTTGCCAAAAGGCATATGATGGCATATGTATACAACACCACACCACCCAACTTATAGTATTAGTGATATACTTACATGCAGTGTGGCAAACAATTGTCAAATTGTGCGCCTTGAGATTGATGGCACACTGGTGTGCTAGCTGAAGGTATGAGCTGTGGGCAGCCCTAGACTACGACAAGACTGGGTATGTCAGCCTCCGAGAGATTAGTGAGGCGCATCACTCCTAGACAGTCTCCACTCACTGTTTCAGAATTGTTTCAGATTGCATTTGCATGGATATTTTCACATGCCTTGTAGATACGTGTTCGAGACACAGATTAGTGCAAACTATTTTTGTCTTGCCTCGGCGTCTGTCGCCCGCTGCCAGGAAGATGCCCGTTTGTGGTTTGACTTCAAGGCTTGGTCTGGAGCAAACTTCAGCGGATTGAAGCTGTACTGCAATGTACTGCATATGGGTCAGGCATGGTGAATAATATGATAACCCTGGTGTTATCTGATGTTAGTTACTGTTAGTTTTCTTCTTTCTATTCGTTTCTATTTTTTTCTTGTTTGCTTGCTGTCCCTCTGCAACATCTAAGAGCTCGTGTCCGCTGTGCCGAGGAGAGACATGATGGTGCAGATACTGGGCACTGGTGCTGAAGAGCGAAAGCCGAAAACCCGAAGTTTCCTGCCAAAACAGAAGGGCACAGCCTGGGGGAGGGCAGCCACAAACCTACTGAAACTGCTTCGCACCAAGGTAAATTATTTGGCTTCAGGCCCTGGGCAGGGGATGAGATGACATGAGAAAGAGAGAACATGAGAGAACTGAGATAACAGATAGAGAATGATAGAGAATGATAGAGAATGATAGAGAGCTTGAGATGGCCTCTGACGATGGCCACCACAAGCAGAAGCGGCACTGTTCGATGGAGGTGCTGAGTGTTGTTGACACTATTGAATCTATTATTTGTGCTGACGGCCAGGGGCCCTGCAAGAGCTCGCACCAGTACCTCTGCCGTGCCTCTTATCTCGTCAGGCTCAGAATCAGCCGAGAATCTGATCATGTTATGTTTGGATGTCCGTCACAAAGAAGACACTCAAAGCAGCCCGCTGGGCACTTTTCAGCTCTTAGTAGCTGTTCTTTTTCTCTTGGCTTGAAGGCGATGAAGAATTTTGCACTTTGACCATTGGAGAGACTGCATGGGTTGCGGGTCTTCATCGTTGTGGCTCCTAAGCTTAAACAGAGTGATGATGCCAATGCAGTTTTGCAGTGCCAGTGAGATGGTTGGAGAGCGCCCCAGCACCCACCACATAGATCAGGCTGGACAAGGAATGTGGAGGACGACTTTGCTCTTTGCATATCAAAAATTGACCAATCAGATGCAACGTTTCCACAGCCTCTCATGCCGCAAGCTTCGGTTGCAACGGTTTGAGCTGGCAGGAGCTCTTCTATGCATTGAAAGATGTAAAGACAGGCGGGACACACGCGGGCAGAACACAGGTTTGACCGCTTAGGCTTAAACTGATTCAACGTTCCAGCGATTATATTGCATCCTTTCGCAGTTTTTCCTTGCATCCGTGTTCATCCGTGTTCATACTTCAGTACAGCCGAGGGCCTCCTGACACATTCTCAACCAGATTGCGTTCCAGGTGGATTTACCACAGTTATCCACAGTTTGTGCCAGGCCTTGTAGATGCCCACTCTTTGACTTGGGTCGTTACTCAACTGCACGTGAAGAACATCATTCACTGACAAAACTATTAAAAAACGTAAAACCCAGGGGTGGGCAATTGGAGGTTGACTGACAGAGATTGGCTGTTCCTGGAGGTAGAGTAGGCAGTTCAGCAGACGAATACTCATGTCGTTGAGCATAGCCGGCGAGGAACATGCACGAGTAGCCCCCAAAAGTAGAACTACAACACTCATTGTCCCACCGGACAATATCATTTTGCCCTTTGCTCCAATGAGGAGCACGAAGTGCGAAAGCACAAACTCAAACAAGAGGCGAAGAGGAGGCAGAGCACTTGCCATTAGCGATAGCGATGTTGCTCAACCGCTAAGCCTGGATCAGCCTGGCAGGATTGGTGCTGACCAAAAGGCAAAAGCAGCAGCACGGAAGAGCCAACAAATGCTGCTTGCCAAGAATTGGCGATTTGATGCCCATCATAGGTGGTGACGCATGAAAGATATTGAAGGATTTGCTTTCTTGGTCCTGTTTAAGCCGTATCCGTTTGAAAACCTATGAATCTATGAATAATTATTCTTGGAGATGGAGCTTGCACAGCATGGAAGTGTGAATATGTCACGTCCGAGGCACTTGCACAATTTCAAAGCTTTTCTCAAGAAGCACTTTGGGCCGACCTACCACGCGTGGCGGAAGGTGCTTGTGGATGCTTGTGGGAAATCATCGCGGTTTGAACGAGCATGTTTTGGATATGTTTGCCGGTGTCTTGATGCAGCTCTTAAAATGGTTTTAAAATGTTTTAAATAGCTCTTTTTCTGCCGAGTCAAAGGTACAAAGCGCCAACTGTTTCCTAATTACCGTTTCCCGTTGCACTTTCAAAAAAATGGTCTAGTATTGTGCGGAAACCTGTTTTTTTTCTTCGATTAAAAACATGGTGAGTTGACAATTTTGGCATGATCATGCCTGGCCGCTCCGACTGTTTCCGTGTTTCCGATTGTTTCCGACTGTTTCAGTTTCTCTGGAAGGCCAGTTTTACCTGTGGATCACTGATTCAACAAAATCACAACATTCAACACTTTTCCTCGTGACCCTTCTGCGCGTGGGTTGCTCGAAATGATGCATTTTGACTTTGAAACCCAATACCCTAAAAAATCCTTAAAAACATTATCCCGGCAAGAGACCCCAAACAGTGTGTAGTTAGGATTCTAAAGGAAAAGGTGGAAAGGATCTAAAATGATCAGTGGCTGCACCCTAGTAGTGAAAACATGGTGGTCCCTGGAAGAAGATGTAACAGGTAAGATTCTGCAAGTTCCCTTTGGGAAGATGCAAGATCTCCTTGAGAGGTTCTCTGTAGAAGCTGCTGTGCAAGATCCCTGTGTAAGGCTATCTGTACAAGGTGCCTATAGGAGATCTCCACGGAAGATCTTTGTAAGGGATCTTTTGTCAAGCTATCAAAAAAGGATCTCCGAGCAAGACCTCTGCTCTCTGCACCAGGTCCCTGTACAAGATCTCCTAAGAGGCCTCTTGCCAAGACTATTGAAGAGATCCCTATAAGAGCTCTGTTGGCAAGCTCTCTGTAAGAGACCTCTTGGCAAGATCTCTTTACGAGATCTCTGCACGAGCTCCGTATAAACGCTCTCTTGGCAAGATCTATGTAAGAGACCTCTTGGCAAGATCTCTGCAACAGATCTCGTCTATGCAATGTCTCCGCACAAGGTCTCCACAAGAGGCAAGATCTCTGTACAAGATCTCAAAAAGAAGTCTTTTGCCAAGACCCTTGGAGTGATCCCTGTAAAAGATCTCTATAAGAGCTCTCTGTGCAAGATCTCCGCGCAAGCTCTCTAAGAGACCTCTTCGTCAAGATCTCTGCACACGATCTCCTTGACCATTAAAATGAGCACCGCGCCACAACGAGAGCGATCTGGCAAGCCCAAACTGATGAGAGGGTTGCGCAAGCCATCTCGAATGAGCACCGCGCCACAGCGAGAGCAATCTGACAGGCCCAAAGTGACGAGCCATTTTATGCGAAATTTGAAGGGAAAATGCCAAACGCTAATGCCGCGACACCGGTTTTGTGCGAGCCTGCGCAGTCGAGACGCACATTGTGTCTAATTTTAAGGGGAAAATGCCATATGCTTCGACCAGGGGCATCGTTTTGTGCGAAGCTGCCCAGTCGAAACGCAACCCTGACTGTAAGAACCCCTTCAGTGTGGCCACGCTAAATCCCAAGACCTCGTGAAATTGAATACAAGCTGTGATGGCGCAACGTGCCTTTGCATGCGTAGCTCCGACAGCTCTGCATTCCGCAGGTGCTGGATGTTGATGGCACCATGCCGCTTCGCCTGAGTTGATGTGTGACCTTTATACCTTTACCATCCTTCTTGCACTCAAGCACCTCCAACGGACCATATTATTTCACATAACTATGTGTATATATATATATGTGTATATTTAAATCATATTTTGACATTTTTTCTACAGTTGATTTCAATACAAACTTTTGATAATTTTTGCTGATTGTCCGGGTTTTCACGTTTCGTTCAGGACTTAGATCTGTAACCAAGGAACTTGCAAAAGCCGGAGCTGTTCAAAGTTTGTCGCCAGATTGGTTGCCTAACTAAAGGGCTTGGCTTCGGAGGTGCATGTCCCCAAATCTTGGGCTTGGAGGCATCATTCATTTGCAGAAAGCGTTCAGTGAAGCGGCTAAATTTTCTGCTGACAACAAAGACTCATTGCAGCAAAGTAAAACCAAAGAGAAAGTAGACAGCATTTGCCGCAGATATCTGCAGATAGCCAGGCAGCAAGCAAAGCAAGCCAAGGATAAATAAGACAGGATGTGGCAAACCCACACAGTTTCAATTGAACCACTCAATGGCATTGTCAAACTGATGAGCATATATACATATATATATTATATATATATGTATTATATTATAGCTGACCTGACTGTGAGCTTAGGTTGGAAAGGAGACAGCCGACAGTTATGGATGGCTCTTGACAACAGTGGTAACGGCAACTCGATTGATCCTGATTGTACACAACTGTACTGTGACCTGCAAACTGTCGCTTTTGTGCTCAAAGGACCACCAACTGGTGTGCAATGCAGAATGTGTTAATGTCGCAGCTTGAGGTTCAGCATCATTGGAAGAGTTGGATCCAAATTGTGCTCGAAAATTGGCAAAGTTCAAAGATTTTGGGGAGCGCCGCTTCGGTCACAGGCACTGAGAAAGAAAGTCAAACAATGACACTGACAAATATGAGAAAGATTTAAGAGTCCAGTGAAAGAAAGCCGGGCAAACTCTTGGTTTCTGCTTCGAGCCCTGGTGGAGCAGATGTAATTAATACATATTAATACAGATGATGTTACCAATTTGTCGAGGTTCAAATTCATCATGACTTTGCAACGCAAAAGGCCAAGAGTAGCACAATCACGGGAACTACACCAGACCTGAATCCTTGTGCTGCAGGCCAGCAATACCCCTTTGGAGAGCCATAGACAAGAGGGACAAGCAACGTCTAAGCCGCAGCCCTACTAAGCCAAGATTCCTGCAGGCTGATTCAACATAATTGATTCTTGAAATATTATTGAACTATGTTGAGGATATTATTGAGGATTTCCACACTGTGGGCCACAGTCGCATGGTCAGCTGCGCCATGCTGCGCCGAGGCTATGATGTCTTTGTGAGAAGATGTTTGGTTATACGATCTGGCCTCACAGAGGCTGAGCTCCAGGCTCCGGAAAATTGCTGCAGGGCTGCAGGGGCTGCATGGCATGTGCTTCGACCACTTCAACCTTCTCCCGTCTTCTCCCTTTGTTTTGCGCAAGGAATTGGCTCACTGGCTTGATTGGCAAGGGAAGCTGCTTGCCTCAACCCTGGGGAACCTGCACCGATGTCCAACCTCCCCAAATGAAGAAAGTTGGATGAAGATGACTGATTGGAAGAAATTTGTGAAGAGCCAATAAATAAGAAACAAACCAGGGGTGCAGCTTTTTGAGCAAGCCATCTTGCCAAGGAAGCACTTGTCCTTCATAGACATTGAGCTGCTTTGCTTTGATATAGCCTGGCTTAATGTCTCGCTCTACTAGACTTAAAGGCTGGGTTGCCAAAGTGTTACGCACAGCTCAGAACACTTTCACAATATTTCACAATTGGACTCGTTTGGACTCTGCATCCTAAGGTTTTTAGATCACTGGAGGCCTCCTGCTTACCTCATCGCAGAGCCCAATCAGGAAGCAGCGGATCAGATAAGGCCAGAGAACATCAGAGAACAAGACATGCCGAGCCAATGATGAAGCATGATGAAGCAATTGGTCTCTGGCATTTCAAATCCTGGACGCCAAAATGTAGCTTGTGTGAATTGAAACAAGGCCTTTCAATGTTTGTCTCGGGTGTCTCAGATGTGTCAGGTCTTTGCTCCTTTCCAAGTATGGACACTTTTTGAAGGCATGGCGCACCCTTTTGGACAAGGCTGGAATCTGGGACCATGGGCGAGGATTTGGTCACGGTTTGGCCCATTTGATCACTGGAATTGACCTTCCTGCTTCTTTCGCAGCACTGCAGGACAGCTCCAACGTTTGCAATTGGGACGAGTTCCAAAATGCGACCTGTCAAAAATTGAAACTATTTGTGAAAGTGATATAAGATAATATAAGCTATTATAAGGTATTATAAACTGATGACATTTGATGACATTTGATGACGTTTGACAGGATTGATGACAGATAAAGTGTGACACGCTTTGAGCGGCTGCTGTGTGCTGTGCAATATTGGGTGCCGTCCTCCCGAGGCGATGCGAGCCCTGAAATTTCATGGGGACGTGGGTGGTGCATGGCTGGCCTTGGACAAGGACACATGAGAATCACATGAGAATCACATGACACTACAAGATGCACAAGATGTACAAGATATTGCCAGATGCCAGAGGGTGTCCAGTGCTTTCTTCAGTTTCTTCCTGTGAATTCGTTGAACAATTTGAACATGAAGTCCTCATCAAGAAATGAGATTTGCCAACTCAGGACTTGAGTGGATCGATCACACTAGAAGACTCCTGGCCATAGAAAATGTGTGTCTAGACCGCTCATCACTGGCCAAACTAATGACATCCCATCAGACTTCAAAGATTGGAAGGCCAAGACAAAGTCAGAACCATAGAAAAGCTGGCCATGCAGCAAGAAGGAACAATTGTAGAGGAAGGACTTTGAACAGCTCAGTTGAGAATCATGATTGACCCATATTGGGCTAAGGAGATCGATAGTCTGTCCAGCCAACTGCTCATGAACTTCAAGGAATGGGCTGATTCTCAGTTTCTTGGAAGTGCAGTTAGGTAATCTCTTTCTTGGAGCGTGATGATAGCTTTTGTTTGCCGTCCCCGCCCTCTTGTTGGCGTCTATGATTCATTTGAGGTTTGGAAGCGTCCGTGCTGCTTTCAAGGTCACATTTCCACGCATTTCCATTGTCACACATTTTCACAGTTGGGCGTTGAAGATGTGTTGGCAAGGACATGGTGCACCTTTTGGATCCTGTTGGATTTTGTGGCATCACTTCTGACAGCTTTCTGCCATGTTTTGAGATCTCAAATGCATTCCTTTGCCACCTTCACACAGCAATACACGGCACTTGTTTGACCATGCGCCACCCGCCGTGGTCACCGTGGTCTGTGAGGTGTTGGACAAAGACCGATCTGGGGAGCTCAGTCTGTCGGAGTTTCGACATGCGGTTCTCTCGCATCTCAGCCTAAGTCGCACTATGCCGGACTGCAAGGTCCTCATGAGACAAGTTCAATTTCAAACGGTTTCATTTTTATTCATTTTTCATATATGATCATAAATCATTGTAAATCTACATGCCCTAGAGGGTCGAACCTACTGCTGCGATCTCACATCGAACGGATGGAAAAGTAGTGGAAAGTGTCTGTTGATATCCAAGGAATGGCTTCTCATCATCCGATGAAGTTTCTTGCTCCGATTCAGTGTATACAAGTAGTTGGCGGAACATACGTGCAAACGTTTGTAAAATGTAGATCTTTTCTCGATCGGCAGTTTATACTTACCGTATCTTACCGTTTGCCTCCAGGTGCGCCTGTTCAAATGTTTGGACTGCAGTGGGCATGGAAGGCCCCTTGCCTTCATACGCTTTGTTTTGCTGCCATGTTCGCTGTCTGAAACATATCCCAGTTGGCGCTGATGCTGTTATCCGCCTCCTATTGGTCCCCAAAAGCACATGTAGAACTCTTTTAGGGTATGGAGAGTGGTAGTAACCCGGACTGGATGTTGTCGTTGTTAGTGCAGTTGGGCAATTACTGGTGTTACACATATTATTTACACATACATTTGCCCACACACACACACATAGATAGATAGATAGATAGATAGCTAGCTAGCTAGATAGATAGATAGATAGAGACAGAGACAGAGACAGAGACAGAGACAGAGACAGAGATAGAGATAGAGATAGAGATAGATAGATATAGATATACATATACATATACATTTACATATATATATACGTATACGTATACATATACATTTTGTCAAAGGGAACACGGTCGTAACACACACTTCATGTGCGACAAGTAAATAGTGATTGCATGGAATGCCATGATGGCTCAAGACCCCATGCGTGAGCAAAAAGAAGTGATCGCCGTCCGCCATGTTTAATGCGCCCGGGAACTACCAGTGAAACAGGTACTACTTGAACTATAACATCCAGAACAAGGATCAAATTGTTCACAGGTTATCAGCCGTAGGGCTCACTTCTCCCGCCGGGAGAGTGGTACCTGCGTGCTGGTAGCCGGGCCTTCTGAGCAATTGATTGAGGACGCAAAGGACCAATCAGCTCATCATCGCAAAGATGCAAGGCGGCAGCGGAGATTCGCGCACCACGCAGTTTACCTTCAATGAGAACACTGCCATGCCGGTCGAGGAGGTCAATCAATCTTCCCCTGGTGACACGGCAGACAGTGGTGGGATACGCCCTACCCGAACTACGCAGTCCGGATGGCAAGTTACATCAAACAGACGAAGAATATCCACCCAAAGCACACCTAGATCTTCTCGAAACAGTGCTCGGAGCGATGTTGTCCGCCAAGGGCATCGACCATCTCGAGGACGCACTACGACTCCAAGGGACAGATCCACCAGGGCCGTGACCGACCGAATTGGTGAGAGGACCGGGGATAGTCGTGTTAAGAGGAGATCAACGGATACTTCTGTGGCTAGTGAACCTATTGCCATGATAGAAGAACTACGGGCACAATGTCAATCCCTACGTAATCAGTTGAACCACATGGAAGCATACGCTGCATCTAGAGATCAACTGATTCATGACATCGAGATCAGATTCACTGAGTATCTTCAGGAACACAACCAGAATGTATTTGATGAGGTCAATGCACTCAATCATAGATTGTCATGTTCCGCAAATGAGGTTGCAGAATATCAAGCAGAACTAATGGTAGCATCTCAGGAAGACGAAGGTGCAACAATACGCATCCAAGACCTTGAACGCCGAGGTGCCCTAATGGAACATGGTGCACGACGGATCCATCAACGTGGTATGGAGATCCAGGAGGAGTACAAGGATGAAGTACATCACCTTCAAGGACTATTGGGTAATACGGAGGCAAGACTGCAACAACTTCATCAAACCAATGTCTTAACCACCGATATTGCCAATCGACTGTACAATGAAGGTCAAGAAATGCAGACAGATTTCCAGAACTCAATCATGGAATATCGCAATCGATCCGAAATGGCATCCTTCTCTAGCAATCAACTTGAAGTGATTAGCCAACAACAATCAATTGCAGTTCATGAATTATCTGAACGGAATCAGCTATTGAGTGAAGCTTTAGTTCAGTCTCGTAAACAGGCCGAGCTGTATGAAAGCAGTATCGACGAGATCACTAGGGAATCTAGGAAGAAGGTTTTCGAGGCAAATCAGGCCAAATTGGAAAGTGATCTAAAGCATCGAAATACTGAACATGATACCGTCAGAAGAATGGCATCATACAGGAACCAAGAGGCCGAAGCAATATCACACCTGAGGCTTGAATCACAGGCTAGTGCAAACTCGATCGCAAGGGCAGAGCACTATGAAGAGCTCTATACCAACGAGCAGGAGATGAACTGCGAATTAAAGGATGAGATCAAGTTGCAGAACACGAAGTTGCGAAAATCGTTGACTCAGGGTACTACGACCGACGGTCGTGGCCCCGATGAGATGCTTGTTGAAGATCTACGTAATCAAGCCAAAATCGCTCAAATCAGGGTTCAGGATCTAGATCATGAAGTTCATGAATGTTTACAAGAGAACATGTTGTTAAAAGAGAGATTGGCTGAAGTTGCGGATGTAGGGGCGTCGTCCCTCACCAATGCTGAAGCCCGAACTTTAAGATCTGAACTTGAGAGTGAGCGCAAAATGAAGTTGGCTAGTGGTGTTCAACAATATGAGAGATCATGCATGTTCATGGGGGAAATTCAGGATAGGGATGAAAAGATCGGTATCAAGAATTCTGAGATTGTTGACATGAAACGTCACTTAGATGAACTGAGAAAGAGTCTCAAGGATTCTGAAACATCTATGTCTAGGATCAGCCCTGACACGCTTCCCTATTCGGCAGGCATTCCCAACTACGATCTCGCATCAAGACTAGTCATCGACAAACTGGAGAATGACGTGAGTGAGGCTAACTGTGAAAACGCTATTCTGAAATCCTGGGTTTCGCAGATCGACAAGGAGTTGACCTATGAGACAAATATGGCTCATTCCTATCGTGGACATGCTGTACCTTCTCAACAACAATCTTCTCAATCAAACAAAAGAATCACTGATCTGCTGAAAGAGGTTGACAACAAGATCGCCGATGGAACCGAGAGGGACTATTACAAACCTCCGAGTGGATGGGGCGGTCCGCCTGACCCTGATGGACCTCCGGACCCTTTCGGGCCTAACGGTCCAGGACCACCTCCCGAACCTCCAGGTTTGCCTTCAGTTCGAGGATCACAACGCGATTCAGCAGATGATGTCTCCACAGCGGCTTACACTGCAGAAGAAGTGCCGAGAATGTCAAGACGGGAGGCTGACAAAGTCTATGTTAGCCCATGGCCGAAGCAACAGAATCTTGGGGTTTGGCAATCAGATCTCATTAAGAGTGTTGTTCTTTCTGCAAATGATGGGGACAAAGCCGCATGGGAAGCATGGCTACAGCCGGCTATTCGACCAAATCCTGACATCGAGCTATTAAATGACAGTGGAGGGCAACGGTATCAATCAATCGACGCCAAGTTGTCAATTGCATTGTCAAACGTGATAGCCCAAGCCGGTGATGTTGCTCGTCATGTAGCGATCAAATTGAGATTGAGAACACAAAGTCATAGTCGAAGAGGAACCTATGTCATGGGACGGGAAATCTTGGCTATGATCCTGGAGCACTTCAGAACCCCGGGTCAACGAGAGACAGCCTTCACCATGGAGCACATCGTATCGATGAAATATCTCGGTGACTCAAACCTGGAAGTGTTCTACGAGAAATGGATGGAGATGGTATCAAACATGATGCCGGATGATGTACCTCCTGATGATTGGCTTCGTGATGCTCTATACAAGAAGATTCGAAATTCGAGTTATGATGTTTGACATCAAGCAGTACGAGTCATGGATTGAAGGAGACCAAAGACGAAGCTATCGCTATCTGTTGGATGTCATCGAAAGGCACATCTCCAGAATCAGAGAGGACAAGCATGTGGCCGCTAGGGAGAAATATGCAAGAGACTTTGCAGGCGGCGGCAAACCTTCAGCTCCTGCCCCAAATCCAACTGCTGCTGCACCGGATGCAAATCCAAAAGCGAAGCCTAAAGCTACTCCCAAGGAGAAGGCAGCACCCAAGGCGAAGGCCAAGGCCGATGCAGCTCCAGTTCTACCATCACCTCAGCCTAAACAGCATGCAAAAGGAAAAGGGAAAGGTCAAGGGAAAGGAAAGGATCGAGCAAACAGCCGAAGTACCAGCCCTAGATCCAAGAAGAAGATCCCATGCCATTTCCATTTCATCAAGAAATCATGCAGGAAAGGCAAAGATTGTGAATATAGTCATGATCAAAAGGTGTTTGATGCGAATAAGAACGCAAAAGGGAATGGTCGGAAGCCAGGAACTCCAAGAAGTCAATCTCCGGCAAACAAGACCAAGAAGGTTGACGAACCATGCTGGCATTGGGCTAAGGGCAAGTGCCGGTATGGAGACAAATGCAACAAACGCCACGATCCTCATCTATTCAATACTGCTCCGAACACCGAAGCATCAAGCTCAAAGGCTACTCCTGCACTTATCCATGATTGGAGTGATGACGAAAGGTTGCATCAAACGTGGTCAAAAAGAAGGTCAGATTTGATGAGTCTAAGACTCACGTTCAAACTTACATAAAGAAGGACTTCGTGAAGTGCAGCCGGAAGTCCCAAACAATCTCCAAAGGTCATGGTAAAGTTGGTAAGCCCACTGATCAGATAAGGAAAGATGAGCAATGGTCTTATTCATGCAGATTAGCATCAAGCCGAGGGAAAGCAATGGCTATCCTGATCGACGAGAAGGGTGAATACAGTGACATTGATGAAGTCCTGGTCATCGTCGGCCCTAGCATGGACATTCTGATCAGACTCGACATTGAGGACGGTGAGGTGTCCAGGGAAGTCTTTGTGGAGAACTATGTTCAGCATATTGAAGGTCGATATGGTAAAAGGGGCAACACAATGTGTATCACTGTTCCCGTTGAGGAGAGAGACAAGAGATTCATATTGGATTCTGGAAGTGGTCATGATCTCATTTCATCCACGCGAATAAGTAGGATGGATCTCCCAACATATGATGATAAGGTCGTTAACTTCCATACAGCAAATGGGGTAACATGTTCGACCAAACGTTCAAGCATCAAGTTCGAGGCATTCAACGAACCAGCAGAAGCTCACATCCTGGAAGACACACCTTCTGTGCTCTCCATGGGAAAGCGATGCGTTGATCTTGGTTACTCATTTGTATGGCCGACTGGAAGAACTCCATTCATGTTAGATCCCAACGGCAACATCATCGAGATGACCGTCAAAGACTACATTCCCTATGTGAGCG